GCCCCCACGGGCTGCTGGAGGCCTGCTTGGCTGGAGCCAACCACAACCATGCACAAAGGCAACGTGCATGGTGAGGAAAAGCAAGAACATGCTCCTCCCACACCACACATCACCAGGGGGCACCATTCATCCATTCATTTATTTATTAAATCATTCAACAAGTGTCTCCTAAACATGTGCCCAACCCAGAGTTAGATCCCAGGGAGGCTGAGGAAGTCCTGCTCCACAGAGCCCCTGTGACCAGAGGACACAAGTAATCATGCTAATAAGTGCTATGAAGGACAGTTAGAGAAGCAAATGGTGGCTGGTGGGGCCACCTGACTCCAAGACAGCCCTAGTGGTGACATCATTGTATAGTGTCCTCCTACAGTGACCCAGGCTGATCTGTGTGACCTGTGAAGGGGGGCAGAGGTCTTGGTGTGTAATTTCTAAGGCTGGGCCTCAGAGGTGTTGAGGCGTCAGCCTTGTGCCTTTGGATAGCTTGTTCTGAGGGAAGCAGCAGCCGAGTTATCAGGATGCTCAGCCAGCCCTGTGGAGGCCCCCGGCCAACTTCCATGAGTGAGTCAATCCCCTTGGAAATGGGTCCTCCCTCCCAGTGAAGCCCTCAGATAGGACCATCCCTGGCTGATATCTGCCCATATATCACAAGAGACCCTGAGCCCGAATTTCTGATACACATAATAATATATATTATAATATATAACATGTACTTATAATATATATAATATATATATTGCAATAACCAAAAGGCGGAAACTGTTCAGATGTCCATCAGTGGATGAATGGATAAATAATATGTGGTCCATTCATACAGCTGGAATGTTATTCAGCCTTAAAAAAGAAGGACAGGGCTAGGGTTGTTGCTCTGTAGTAGAGCCTTGCCTGGCATCTGTGAGGCCCTGGGTTTGATCCCCAGCACCACATATAAACAAACACATTAAAAGTCCATTGACAACTAAAAAAAAATTATTAAAAAAAAAAGGAAGGACAGCCAGGTGTGTTGGAACAGGCCTGTAGACCCACCTACTCAGGAGGCTGAGGCAGGAGGATCACTTGAGCTCATGAATTCGACTCTGAGAAGATAAAAAGGTCTGCAGATAGATGGGGGTGATGTAACAGTATGTCACTGAACTGTAGGTTTAAAAATGGTTAAAATGGCACATTTTATGTGTATTTTTCTACGATAAAAACAACAATGATAAAACAGAGGTGTGGAAATGAGCCCTGGGGGGCTTGACTGGAGGCAAAGAGACTAGGAGGCCGCTTTAATGGTCCGGGCTTGGGATGGTGGCAAGTGCGGAGTGAGTTGGGGGGATTTTTGTTAGGCGGGGGGCTTTGTTGAGGGTTTGCTTTTGGGGCTTGGGGGAAGGGGAGGGGCCTTGGTTGTTGGCTTGGGGGAGGGGGGGGGGAAGGCTTCCGGGTTCTTGGGCCATGCCAGACCAAGACTAGGGATTGCTCTACCCACAGAGCGCTGTCAGGGACCCCACCTGAAGGAACTGGCACACCCACTTCCCGTCTCTTGGGATGCTTCCTCTTGAAACCCAGCTGCCATGCTGCAGGAAAGCTCAGGTCACATGATGTTTCCACCCAGAGCCTCAGTTAAGGTCCCACTAGACATACTAGAAGACACTTCTGGAAGATTCTACCCCCCGGGCACTGCCCAAATGCAGTGGCATGTGAGAAACAAGCAGAAGCAAGAACCACCTCACTGAGCCCAGAAAATATGCAGAAAGAACCAGGATGGTGGGGGGGGAGGGGGAGGGGTGGAGACAGCATGGGGGGGCACTGCTGTTGTTTTAAGCCCCCACATTTGAGGATGATTAGTTACATGGCAATAGAAAAAGGAAGCAGACAGGTAACCAACTCCCCCCCCCCACCCAATGTCTTTCTATTGGGGAAATATTCTGCAGAGTAGTGATGTCTCCTTTGTGCCCAGTTCCATTCATGCAGCCACTTGATGATCTGAATGACGTCATTCGGGGGGACTCTTACGTTTCTTTGATAATTCGGCTTTGCATTCTCTGAAGTCATTGTTCTCCCCAACTCTAAATTTAAGACAGCTGAATCAGGCCTCAGCGGACTTGACTCAGCATGATGTTGCTGGTGGCCATCTGGTACCCCTGGAGAGTGACCTCCTGGTACCTTAGTGGCTTGGTGAGGTCAGTCTGGTTGAGGTGACATGAGCAAAACCCATGAATGTGACTTCTTTTCAGGCCAGAGCAGTTTGTGGCTGGTGCAAGCCCCTTCAACACCCCCTCCTCTGTCACAGATCGTGGACACTTGCATTGGAATGGGGCATGCTTCACGAGCCAAGGGCTCTGGTGACACCACTGAGCAGAGTCCCTGCCCATCAGCTGGACATATACTGTGAGCAGGAAATAAACTAAGTGGTTTGAGACCCCAAGATTCGGGAAATTATTTGTTTCAGCCACATAAACCTCCCAGATGTTGACAGATATCATAAAAATCACTGATTTCTTGAACCAAGGTTATGGTTTAGATATGAGGTGTCCCCCCAAAGCTCATGTGTGATAAAATGTGAGAAAGTTTACAGGTGAAATGATCGTTATGAGAGTTTTAACCTAATCAGTACATTAATCCCCAATATTGACCGGGTGGTCACTGTAGGCAGGTAGGGTGTGGCTGGAGGAGGTGGTTGTTGGGGGGTGTGCCTTTGGGGTCTATATTTTGTTCTGGGTGAGCAGAGCTCTCTGCTTTCTTGCGCCTTTCCCCAGCTGCTTTCCTGTCCAACATTCCCACCATGATGTCCTGCTTTACCTCGGGCCCAAAGGAATGGAGCAGGCCCTGTCTGCACCGAGATCGCGAAACCCCGGATGAGCTTTCCCTCCTTAAAATTGTTCTTGTCAGGTCTTTTGATCACAGCAGCAAAATAGCTGACTAAAACAATAAGTAAGTGGAGAAGAGCGAGGTGGCCTCCAGGCAGAAGTGGTGCTCAGGCCCTGCAGGAAGCAAGATGGGCGGGTCCAGGAAACCACAGGGCAACATGGTGGCAAGCGGTCCCTCTGGTCCCGGGAATTGGACATCCAGGGGTTTTATTTGGGGGGTGGCATATTCCCAGAGGAGGAGCCCCATAGCTCCAACTACCCTGAGGGAGAACTTGGCTCCTGCTCCAGGCTGAGGTATCCCTGGTCCAGCTGTACTCCCAGGTTGTGCTGCAGGCTTTGGGGGTGGTGGAGGTGCCGTGTGCTGCACTTCCTGCGGCTGGAGCGCCACAGCTCCCCTGGACAGCAGCTCTGCCCTGCTAGGCCCCTTGTTGCTCCCCACCCCTCTTGCCTTCCACCCTCTGCAGCCGCTCTGGGGCAAGCTGGATACTCATTTGTGACTCTCAGCTACTAAGAGCGGCAGTATCTAGGGTAGGCCACCTGGGCACACCTTCAGGGCAGGCCTCTCACCCGTGACTGCCCACGTGGCCTCTGCCAGCTTGGTTCTCACCTTATCCTGATGGGGTGTGAAGAGGGCTTTGGCATGAGGAGAGCCTGGAGCCTGTTGTCACCCATGCCAAACCGTGGCCAGGGCTCTGAAGACCCAGAAGGAACTTGGTGGTTTCTGACCCCTGCATCCAGATCCACAGCAGCCCGGCCACCTGGGCACTGCCCAAAGTCCTATGCCTGAGTTTTCCCCTTCCGTGTCCTGCTCTATAGCCCAAGCAGGATATGCAAGCTCAATCCCTGGCCGCAGTCCTTTGTTGGAAAGCTATCGGCCGGAAATAGGACATCTAGGTATCTCTCAGCTGGGAACTTATCACATCTAGGGTTGTTCATCAGATGCATCAAGTATTTGGTTATCAGTGACATGAAAACATGCCAAATACTTTGTAGGCAAGGAGCAGCAAGAGTTACAGACCGCTGCTCAGGTTCCTTCCAGACCTCAGGCTCCTCTTCTGGTTCTTCCTCATGACCCCAGTGTGGCTGCTGGGCCTCCAGGTAGGAAGCAGGGGAAAGTCAACTTTTTTTCAATGGCCAGAAACAGGTCACACTCCAAATTGTGGAAGGCTGCATATATTTTTAATTGACCCAAGACAAATATGGGGCTCAGAGGTGAAGAGAGGATGGGACCTAGAGCTATGAGATGATCTCCATCTTTTTTTTTGGATACTGGGGATTGAACCTAGTGGTGCTTAACCACTGAACCGTATCCCCTGTCCTCTCTCTGTAAGTTATTTTGGGTCTCACTAAGTTGCTGAGGCTGGCTTTGAACTTTCGATCCTCCTGCCTCAGCCTCCCAAATCCCTGGGATTACAGGTGTGCACCTTCATGCCCAGCTCCCAAGTTCATCTTAAACTAAAACAAGAGTGCAGCATCTTCTAATGCCAGGAGCGCCCTGGTTGGATGCACGCAAAATACAGCTGGGCTGCCCAAGCTGTTCTGAGACCCAGGCTGGAGGGGTAAGAGCTGGGGCCCTCTTCTATAAAATTGTCTTGGTAAGTAATTGACTTAAAGGTTTGTGACGGCTCTAATTCTTCCCCCCAGTGCTAGGAATCAAACCCAAGGTTTATCAGCTGCCACTACCAGTGTGGCCCCATGCTGAGCTTCTTTTTTGTACAGGTGATTGAACCCAGTGGGGCTATACCACTGAGCTACACTCTCAGCATTTAAATTTTGAGACAGGGTCTTGCTAAGTTGCCCAGGCCAGCCTTGAACTTGTGATCCTCCTGGCTCAGCCTCCCGAGTCATTGGGATTACAGGCATGTGCCACTGTGCAGGGCTCCTTGGTTTTAAAGCACATCCCTCATTTCTTCACCACTTCCTAGCTGTGGAGCCTAACCCCCCACCCTGGACCCTGGGGCCGCCTTGATGAATAGGACAGAGCAGAAGACTTCCAAGGCTGACAGCGAGACAGCCTCTCTGATGCTCACACTGTCACTGGAAAAGCAGCCACTGTGATGCAAGGGAGCCACAGGGGGTGGCCGGGAGGGTGGACCCGCTGGCCAGTACTCCATGAGGTCTCTGCTGACTGCCAGCAGCAATCCCAGGTCTGCAAGGGACGCCACCACCACAGGAGAGACTGAGACCACCCAGCAGCTCCCTGGCCAGCCCAGAGCACTGCAAGGGAACAAGGATGGCGGTTACAGAGGGATGGACAATGGGGACAGTGGTATGCACCTTCTTTTACTTCTTAGTAATAGAATCATTTCCCTCACTTGCGCTTTACATAGCTAATACAGGACCCTCCCTGGGTTCCTGCTTTGAAACAGCACCTCCTGCCCAGGAAGGTGCCAAGGTGGCCATCCCATAGTTGCTGAAAAGTTTATTGCCGTCTTCTTATTCTACTACGCAAAACTAGATTGGTTTAGAATATCTCTGTCTCTCGAAAGGAGCCCTGGTTAGAGGGAGGCGATCTACTACATTAAACGCAGCAGCAGCAGCTGGTTCAAGGGAGCCATTACTATAAAGTCGCCACAGCTGGGCTCCTTTGGGACCGCAGGCTCCTCTCTAGGGCCCCCAGCCTGCTAGTGCCCTCCGCTTCTGGAGTCAGCTCGGCCCCGAGGGGTCCCTGCACCTGGAGGCAGATTCCACTGTAGATCCCCAGCTGGACACGCCGGACACGTGGAGTTGCAGGGGCCTGGATGGTGACGTCACCCTGGGAGGTCCATCGTGGACCGCATGGGCATCCCTGTGGCTGTCCCTGAAGCAGGCAGGCCCTGCCCTGGGTTCACAGTGTGGACGACCACTTGGGTGCTGGACGAGCGGGAGGGGCTGCTGGGCCCCGGAGTCCCCGGAGTCTGGGAATCCTTGTCCACACTGTGGGCCATGCCAGCCAGTTCCCTGATGCCTTCGCTGAGGTCTCTGTGGGGAGAGGAGGCATGAGCTGGAGAGTGGATGGGGTTGAGCTGCACCTGCCCAGGTGTCCCGGTCTGGCCCTGTGATCTGTAGACTGTGGACCTGGGACGGACTACTGTCCCCCAGGGCTGGGGAACACTCTCCTCCACCTGAGCGGCCTGTTCCCTGGAGCACATGGAGGCTGTTCGTCTTCCTTACTGGACCAACTGCACAGGCCTCAGGTCCCTCCCCAGTGTGGCCAGGGTGGGTCCTGGTCATCTTCCTAAGGGGTGAGAAGGTGCTTTCTGGGGCTTATTCCAAGTGCATAAACCACCAGGAGTCTGGCTGCCTGGTCAGGACCTGGGGACAGGGGACCAGGAGCATCCAGGGGAAGACACCTCCCTTCCTTCCAGGCCTGTCCCCTTTAGTGGCCTGGAGCTGGATCACTCACCTTCCACACCCTCAACGCCCTGTAGCTCCCAACCCCAAAACACAAGCTGAGGTATCCTTAGGGTGTCCTGAGCTGGCCCAGCCCCTTCTCCAGACTTGCTCCCTGGAGGCTGGGGGCTGTCCTCGCCCCTTGCCGGTTGCCCTCTCCTGTCCCCAAGGCAGGCTCTCCCATAGGCTGACATGAGGCCTCACCTCCTCCAGGAAGTCTTCTCGGATCCCGTTCCCACCCACACTTCGTGCTTAGAAAAATTCCAGAAAGTGTTCAGAGTTGAGAAATAATGTAGTGGTCAGCGAATATGTAAGTGGATCAATTAGTTAATAAGTAGAGAGGAGACAGCTTCAGGAGTGAGGGTGCAGACTTTGGACGGGCAGCCGGAGGTCCCACAGCTTCCCGTGCACTGGCTGTGAGACTCTGCACAAGCTGCTTAACCTCTCTGGTTCTTCACCCGTAACACACCTAGGTGAGAAGCTGGCATCTGGAAGAGCTAGACTGTGCCGGGCACATTGCTGATGCTGGGCGGTGTTCACGACAAAGCCAAGTCAAGGGGCAAGCCTGGCCTTGCTGGGACGGTCATGACCACCAGGTGGCCTGCCCTGGCCTCATGGCCTCAGATCCAGAGAACCCTGCCTGGGAACCAGGGACAGGGACGGGGTTTGGGGACTCTGCTTCCATCCTACTGTCCCTGGGAAGAAGCCGCCTTCTCCGAGTCCCCATCGAGCCTGGCCAAGTGCTCAGGGTGCCATGTGTGGGAGAGCTCGGGGCAGGGTCTCTGCTCTCGGCTTCATTTCCTCCTTCCTGCCTCTCAAGCTACACTGACTGGAGCCAGCTGTCAGAGTGGCCCCCAATCAGGCCCCGTTCAGGGCTCCCCCACTCCTGGGGACGGAACAGAGTTCCCTACACGGCTCTGTGACCATCCTTGGATGAAGGGTACCTGTCTGACCCCAAGGCCTAAAAACTGGTGTCTGTGGGACAGGAACAGGCAGGTATGGCCCCAGCGGCACCCTGCGAGCACCTGGCCTCATGCTTTAGCCAGGGAAGCCAGCGGCCCTCGTCCAGGACACCACGGAGCCCTGAGAGCAGCAGCTCTCCCCCTTTCCTAACCAGGACCCAAGAC